CTTCTTGTGGGCGATCTTTCCAAGGAAGATAGGGTAATATGCGCATCTCGCACGGAGAGTTTTGAAAACGAGCTACTGGGAGCTGAACAGCCTCTGTCTCATCTGCTGTGTTCAGTGTCACCCGAAAAATTCGAGATTCACCATAGTGTACTATGGTCGGATGACACGCTACGAGTAGTAATCGCATCGCAGATGGATTCCACTGATTGCGATCACCTAGCAACTTGTCCTTTATTTTGCCAGATTTGGACTCAGGAAGGTTAGTGCACATGTGAGCTAACGAATCGTGGATCTTACTTATGAATGGAAGGATTTTGGTGAGTATTTTTGTTCGTCGCAATCAGCCGACAATTCAGATATGTCGACCAGCTGTCCGGAAAAGCACCAGACGGCCGTTGCGCCCTATTGGGGCTCATCAGTGGTGCGCATCCTTTGGTCCTCTGCGGAGGATCGAACCCATGACTGCTAGTGGCTCTTGCCAACTAGCCCGCAGCTTATGCAGCTGCGCCATGGAGGACGGTATCTGACTATCGTGAATTGTTAGCTAAATGCGATATGTCGATTCATAGCTGCTGTAACCGGGAAGTCCTGACGCCGGAAGGCCGACCGCTGTCATCTGCATGGCAGGTGCCTGCATGGCAGTGGAGGATGCGTCGGGCTATATCACATTTAGCTAACAATTCACGATAGTCAGATACCGTCCTCCATGGCGCAGTTGCACAAGCTGCGGGCTAGTTAGCAAGAACCACTAGCAGTCATGGGTTCGATCCTCCGCAGAGGACCAAAGGATGCGCACCACTGATGAGCCCCAATAGGGCGAAACGGCCGTCTGGTGCTTTTCCGGACAGCTGGTCGACATATCTGAATTGTCGGCTGATTGCGACGAACAAGAATCGTGGATCTGCCTAGCGAATGTCCGTTTGTGAGTAGCTGCTGGTAATTTGGGCTGTTTAGAAAGCGCCACTGGAGACGACGGTGAAAAGGGCGTCACTCCGCTTGTGCTCCTTATAAAGCCGGATCCACCCGTATCCCTCACGGTTTGTTTCTGGAGACAGCGGATGCATACGTTACCCGCTTTTGTACCGGACTACGTTTTGCTCTTGTGACTGAATCTTTAGATGTAGCTCCCATGAATAGGGTGAAAACAGTCACATCGAATGAAACTTGCAAGAGTAAGGGGTTAGGGTGTGTCAGAGTAGGTGGCACAGATAGTGTGAGATGATTAGCAACATTGACTTTACTGTTTGGCTTATGGAAGGAGCTCGGAGGGGTTTCTGAGGCACATGATTGATGTTCTGCGATCCAAATAGTGAAGCACTGATCCTCGCCATCTACACAATGGTTATCATTAATTTATCGTACATTTTCATGAGCAAAACTACACCATTTACCATTGGATTAGCTCTCCCTACCCGATGCATTGTCCACATTGTTGCACCTCTTTACTCCTACTTAACTTACTCCTCCACACTTAGCGTTGAATGCAATGGTACACCTAGAGCAACTCAGTCCCATCCTGACTACTCTGGCACATTTAGATTATGTGCATTTACTGCTAAGTGGGTCAGTTTCAGTGTCGGCTGTGGTGGGAACCAAACAACCGAACACTGCACCTGATCGGTCATGTTAGAGAGCAGATCCAAACGCCATCTCTGGGTCATCAGTTACAGGGGAAAGATGAGTGGCCGGTTCGGAAGGAGGAGGGGGGATTGTGCTGAATGTGGCATGCCTAATTTGCGAGAAAATAGTGCGTTGTGCCAGGGTAAACGAAAGCACGCTCGATACCGCTGAGGTCAGTCAAGCAATTCATTTGCTGAGTGCATTTGGGAATCAAACATCGATGGTAATCGGCAAGATCCCAAAATCTATTGGAGTATTAAAAACAGTTTATGGCGATAAACTCTTCGGAAACTTGGATAGTATCTCAAGACACCCCAATACCAAGCGAAGTTGGGATGCCTTTTATTCTGGTAAACATTGACGCCGTATTGGTTCAACCGCGGAAAGACCAATGGGTATGACACGCTTCTTCGGATCAAGTAGTTACAAGTGTGCCTGCAAGGTAGGGGTATGCCATGTCTAAGTCACACACGACATCGCAAATGCAGTGCGGAGATCATTTGCAATTTTGCACACTCCAAAAGCAGTCTTTAGCCACTCGACTGGGCCGGGTGGAGGGAGGAAAGATGGGTCGGGTATGCCCCTATCCTTCTCAGGCACCGAACGATAGGCGGGAAAATCTAGGGCTTACTGATGCAAATTGTACATATGAGGTAGGCAGTTAGGCTGTGCATGTCGGGGATGAGGCTACCAGTTTGGTGATTAAACTTATTTTCGTGTGTAAGCTGCTCTTCAATATTTTGGAAGCCATCGGAAGTGTGTGTGTGTATGTCAAGTGTCGTCCGAAGTGTGGATTAGCCCAGTTTGGAAAGCCTGTTCAAACTCCACTCTTGCCAGGTTAAACGTCCCCACTGATTGTGTGCGAATTCAAACTGAAAATAGTGGTCCGCTTTTCGGTTGTGCTTCGTGACTGGAGGAACCATTGGAAGTGATGCCTTCGTTGAGCGACCTTGTGGTAAGAGCGTAGACCGAGGGGAAGCTTGAGACGTCGGCGTCGGAGTCACGAACGTTTTGGGCGGTTTTGCATTAAACATGATGTCAAAATGTCCTAGGGAAGCGATCTAGATTACGGCAAACAGCAAAGAGGCAACAAAAACTGCAGATAAGTTTGCGATCAACAAGCACTGAGCACGTCAGTTGCGGCTGCGCTGCTTCTTCAGTTTCAAGTGGAACCACACCTAATGTCACCCGGTGGTTGGCCAGGAAAGCGGTTTCATAACCACTATCTTAAATACGATTTGGTGGCTACTGTTGCTGCGGCCGTGGGATGCGGTCCGGAATTGCCCCGTTTGAATTGAGCTGAAAGTATTAAGCGGAGGGCATTTCTTCACCTGAGGGCCAAAAATAATAGTGGTACTGTACATACAAATTACTGCATAGCTGAATGGTACGTCTTGGCGAACAGCCGTGGGCTATAGATAGAGTGCAATGGGTTGAGGCTAGATTAGGATCGTGGTGGAGTCGTCCCTATAGTTGAGCACATGGTATAACAAGCTCATCGGGTTCCGAAGGGACAGATGTGAAATGGATTGCTGTTCTATGGAGACATAATGGCTTGTATTACACAAGTTACTTGCTTAGGAAGATCTCCCATGAGACCTTTAACCATCTGTTAAACTTCCGTAGGAAATCATACGTTGGCGGATGCGATTACAGGCTGAGTTAAATCAGATGGATGTTGCGGCTAGAATTGCCGAGTTACCATTGTTGGACGAAGCAAAGAATTTCACAATCGGGCCCAATAAAAACTAATGTTTCTTACTGTCTTCAAGTAAATCTTGGGAGATCCCAGTGCCTTTGCCGGATCTCCGAAGGCCCCGTTTCAATTATCTATCCAAGTACGAAAGTTTTAGTAGCGCTGGAAAGACTGTCTCCAAGTTGTAAAGTTAAACACCGGGTAAAGTACATAGTAAATGATTACAGTTAGCTTGTCCTGGTGAAATATAACGGTAAATTAATTCTGTAAAGCAGACCAAAGTATCGGGTTTGCAGCTAAGAAAGCGGAGAGACCAGTCTTTGAGACTAAAAAGTACCATCTACCCGGGCAACCAAATGTTAAGAACTAACATTTGTGATGAACGGATTGAAAATTGGAGCGAGTTCTTTAAAAGTATTTTAACGATGGTGGTAGTGTGTTCCCATTCGGATCGATGAATCTTAGAGTTCAACTACGTTACTTGCTGTCATTGCTGGCAGTCAAGAGAGGGGACAAACAAAGGAAGAGGTAGGTCAGTATAAAGTGACTGAGTTCAGCGTGGGTTGTATAGAGCTACAAGGTAGCAGAAGCTGGCGAGCTACAACAGGGAACAGCGTATCACTACTCGCCATGAAGGAAGAACTAACGAACAACTGTGTTCAGTGGAAAAATGGACAATTGGAGAGTAGAAGCTAGCAGTCAAAAAGACGAGCCATTACAAACACAATGTAATTATGTACTGTCTTGCTTTTCTTATGTTGCGGATGCGCACAATGGGTAACTGTTCCTGGTTAGTCTGTACAACACATGGGATCACTTTAAATTCAAAATTTCGAACATTCCTTGTTAAAGTAGTCAGCTATTTGGTTTACCTTATGACATAGTACTGCTTTTTCATCAATGAACCCGTCAACATCCCATCCTTCAACAACCTAACCTGGTTTTGTGCTCATTAAGTAGTCTTGGAAGTCCGGGTTTGCTTGAAAATCATTTAATGGCCTATGTGTATCGTTCAGACGGTCCTGCGATCTAGTGGGATTATAACAGCAAGAAACAGTGTTTTTACGGCGATGCAATCAGGTTTATTTGATCCAGGGCTGGTTAACTAAAACCAATGATCCATGGATGTACGTTGCTTGTAAAAGCAAATCCCATAAGTCACTTACCTCTATAATTAACAGGACTTACATTTTACGTCTTAATCTATCAGCCGGACTTCATGAGTACCCTTCGTGGTAACATTACCAGTGAAGCCAGCAGTCATGCTCTCGTTTATACGTCAGAAACGATAAACCACAACAATCGACGAAAGTTTCCTTGAATTCAGAAATTGCGCTTGCAAGCACTGTGAAGTTCAAACGAAACATTGGCATAGCACGGAATAATTTGTGTGCGAAAGCTTTAACTCATGCCTACTTTCATGCTATTCAGTAGTTTCACGTATGTAGCCCGGCGGTTGATGATCGATGAAGCAGTAACACACAGTCCGCGGTTAGCTGGGAAACACGGGAAACTGTGCTATTTCCTTGGTAGATAATGCGTGGGCACCCAAGTATCCCATTGGTTGGGCCCAGTTTCCTCCTACGACAATTGCCTATCATGATATGACTGAAATTTTCTCATCGATTTGGTAACCAGGCGAAGCCTTTCAGTGTTGGACAGAATTTGATGAGATATTACATCGATGCAAGCATCAAAACCAGGAAGAGAGGAGCTTCAGGTTAACCAATTTAACCAAAATGTGCCCAAATTGCTTTTGAAAGTAATACATTTTTGTGACCATTTACTAGACCCATTATCAGTTCGCAAAACAAGGCCGTCTGGCGGATTTAGAAGACTTGATCGTGAAGTTCCTGCAAGAGGCAAGGAGTTGTGTCAACCAACTCGACAATTCCGGCTTGTGCCCATTGCACTACGCGGCAAGAAATGGACAGCTTGGTTGCATACGCAAGCTTGTGGAGCTGCTTTCAGCCGGTATGTTCCTTCAACAAGTGAATACTCAGATCGCTCGCGATTCTATTTTTAATTCTGCACAACACTTTCCATTTGCCTACATGTTTTTGTATTGTGCCGCCCATCAGAATTTAGGTAGCAAACATTTGGCGCTATTCCCGACATCTGTTATGTAGGTTGTCAAGGGTTTGTCACCTGTAAGCGCTAAGCCGTTGGTGTGATCCGTTGGTCGATTTGAGTCAAAGAGCTTACAGATATCGGCGGACAAACTGATGGCAGGTTCACATTTCACGCCAACTCTATGATTGGCGCGCTGGTGGTCTGACACCGGCATAATGCGCCATTACAAATGGGTTCTCATCTTAGATTAAAGTAGAACGTCCACCACGACCAGACAGTATTTGTTCCTGCTCAGTTCCTCAAGATTTGCAACTGGCAAACCGTCTCTCGCTTGAACCGAGTATTTTTTTTCACGTAATTGTAAAACGAACTAGATGATACCGTTGATTTCTGCGTTTTGACGTTGTCCGCCGTATATCTAGCCGGTAGCTTATTGCGTTTGAGCCGCTGTGTTAATTAGGGTTTATGGACCTAGGTGTGCTGATCTACGACTACTCTACCTCGCTTTAAGCATTGCTTAGTAGTGATCAAAGTAAAAAGAGTGGGATCTAAGCGACCTCGGAACACATAACAGTTATGAATCAACAGAGAGACCTCACCTGCCGTAACCTAGAGCTTGTCTCATAATCTTGCGGCGCGGGTTCGAATCCGCGTGAGAGTGGGCATCCTAGCGGTATAATCAGTCTGCGTCCGACTGGTGGTGGTCGCACGGCAGCGAAACGCCGTTACGACGTACAGCTAACACATTAGTAGTAGTAATAGTAGTAGTAGTAGTAGTAGTAGTAGTAGTAGTAGTATTCACCTGCGAATACCATACCGTTCTACACCTGTATCCACACACCTGTTGACTGCAGGTTAATAAACCAAGTTCCTAAAATCCGGACAAATACTTGTATCGAGCTAATCCGAACGGCTTAGAAGACCGCCTACTTATTCTGTCTAGACTCTTCCCGTGTTATCTCAGTTCTGCTTAAAAGAAGTGTTATAGCCCATAAGGTGTCCATCAGCGTCACGGCTTCTCCTTTATATACAATTCCTCTACCTGTCCATCCAATTTAACATTGCCAACCGCGTGAAAAGTCCCCTTTTAAGGCACGGGTTGTGGACTCATCTGGAGTGAATCACAACCACGCTACACATACTCATACATGTAATGCGATTGGCTACTCTTGCTTAGATGTAAGTACTATCCCGACAAAAGAAAGAAGTCAGCCAACTGTTGCTTAAATCACCTGAACCGTCTCGTTAGTACTGTTACAACAGTACCTCCATGATTAAAACACAAATTGTAGTCCGATTAATAGTTTCGATGCATTAGAGACCATCTTGCAACCCTACGGAGAAGATAAATGTCATATGGTGCGTTGAATTCGAACGAAGCTTCATTATCTGGTCATGTTCCTAAGATCATAAAATGGACAACTCCGTTCTTCACTATCTGGTCGTATGCTTACTAACCTTACTTTGAAGTCAAAAGTGGTCATTTGAAGCAAACAAATATAGTGGTCGAAACTGCCCGCCAGTGTTTTCTACTCCCTTGGTTTCCGTCCAAAATCAATTTTACACAATCTTGGAAATAGTGTAACTGGTAGATAGGTCTCAGTGGTGATATGGCTCGTGTAGCGGTAGCAACCAGCGGTCAGTTGTCAACTTTGTTTTCCTGCGTTTCAGATGTGAACATTGAAAGCCGTGAAAGAAAGACTGCCCTTCACTTTGCTGCCATGCATCGCAGAAGAGTGCAAAACGATGCAGTAAGATGACTTTAAATATTAGCTATTTTTCTGGAAACCGTCCATCTTTGATGATCATCACTTCCTGAATATTGCCAGTGTATTTAGCATGCAGCTTATCATGAGAAACACAGTCGTTGTGAAGGTATCGTAGAGTTCAGCGCCGAATCTTACTCCATGTAACTTTGTTGGACAAAATTATATTAGAGGTCCAGTCAAGTTTATCCCATCGCACCACTACGGGAACAAATGGAGAAGCAGTAGCAGGTTAATTGCGCGTTAACTGGCTGTGCAGATACCACTTTGAACCGTTCATACCGCAAATATCCAATACTGAGGTTTAGTAAAGCAAAAACAACATTTGAGTTTAAAATGGTAGAAAACGGGGTCTCTTCTGTCTATCCAAGGCTGCAAACGTTCAAATGGGAGTACAATATTCAGTGATACTTCGTTTGTCTCAATGGGTCTCAGTTTACCGTTTGCATGACCCAGAAATAAAAAGAAATAACCACAAGCCTATCTCGTAAGAGCCGGTTCCATTTCCTGTTTCATTGAGATCCGAAGGCGTAAGGGTTGAAGTAATAGGTTTTTGTGTAGTTGCAGCGCTCATCGACCCTTGGATGCCCAGCTATGAGAAGGCATGTGGAAGGGCTTAATGATAGCAATATAATAGTAGCTAGTGTACGCCTGAATAATATACAAATGTAATGAAAACAACATGAGCTAATGGTGACCTATTGCTACACGCTTCTACTTCACAAGTGTTAAGGTCAAGTATGTGGATTCTGGATGACAAAGGAACTGCTGAGTCTGACAACATAAATCCGCTGATGATCGACAATAATAAAATTATCCATTGCATAAAACGATGAAGCCTAGTCTGCTTTTGCACGGCTAGAGTCCCCAACTTATCCGATTGGCTTATTTGACAGTGCTTGGGCTTTTGCATGCAAAACAACGCAGCTGCATCTCCAGCTTTTACCTTCTACTATTTGTTGCTTTACTATATCATACCACCTTCAAGTTATGCTTGATCCCACACTCAATGGTGCAATCGTATATGCGGAGTATGCAAGCATTTCTTTAACATGTCACGTAGGATAGTTAGGAAGATAAATACAAGCTAGTAAACAATGCCAGTAAAGAATGCATGAAATACATGACTCACCAAGGTGCTTGGAGTAACTCATATGCTAGTATTTCCGCTTGGGATTTAAGAGGATTATGATACCGTCCACGGCTTGTTGTGCGTGAATGCCAGCATCTGATGGTCATATAACATGTAGTGCAAATGTGTCAGCGTATGGTAAAGACATTTGTTGAAAGAGATAAAGTGGGCGCATTAATTACATGTGCTGGAACGGCGTTCCATGGCTGTGACACTCGGAAGGAGAAAACGTTTCGTCGACATTCCAGTCGGCTGTACTGCGTGACCAGCTTTAATTGATGACCCATTAGAGATGTGTTTTGATTGTTTCAAACGAGAATTCTATGTGCCGTTGGGGTTTGGCAGAATCTGATGCACCATTAGGTGATCTCCTCTTAGATGCCGATAACGTCCGCTGTATATTTTGAGAGTTTGCAGCCTGAGTGGGTAGGGAAAGCGAGACAAATCTCTGACGTCCTTCGTAGCCATGCATCGTGCAGTATCGAGCACGGTGACATAGCGCTTTAGCCAGCGTTGATAAGCTTGGACAGTATATTCCTCATGCGGCCTCAAGTACATCCCAAGCATGTTCGGAAACACTGAGGCGTCAAAGTTCCATAACGCTTGATGAAGAAAGCCGACGTGCTGGTTGGATTTCTTTAATGCCTTTGCAGTCTGCCTCAAACAGCCGAGGTAATCCTGAACAAGCATGTCGAGATCACACTCATGAGAGGCCCGCTGTATAATTTGTGGTCTTAGGCGGTAGTTGTGAGCACTCAGATGCCGTACGCTAAAACCCTTGCAATTGGTGGCGTTGAATTGTAGCATGTTTTCGATGGACCATGTATATACTTTGTCCAGATTATTCTGTAAGGCTATGTGATCCTCCACTTTATCAATAGGACGCTATATCTTTGGATCATCAGCAAATAGTAGACAGTTTGAAGATAGTACGTCCGCGAGATCGTTTATGAAGACCAGGAACAAGCGCGGTCGGAGTACCAAGTCATGTGGCACGCGGCACTGAATTTCGATTGGTTCCGGTAGGGCGCTGTGAACGAGAAAGTAACCTATCCAGCCCAGAACTTTATCACCGATTCCAAATTACTAGAGTTTGTGCAGTAGAATACGGTGGACAAACGGGTCGAATTCCTTTGAGAAGTCCAGGTAGGCTGCATCTACTCCTACACTAGCGTCCCCAGGTTCCCTACAGATTGCTTGAGGTATCAACAGATTAGCAGTACAGAACCGATTTTGACGAAATCCCTGCTGCATGGGAACAAGGATTTTTGCTATTCTCCAAGCACCCCATTAAAACCCAGCTACTGTGAACTCCATAACCTTGGAGTAGAATTCTCGAGCGACAATTTGCTGGTTCAGCATGGCTACCACTTTGTATATTGTATTGATGATCCCGTGCTTCCACATCGTGTGAACATGTATGCCGTTAAGAAATTGCTGAAAGAGACTTGCTAGCTGTTTCGCTAAACTCATGGCGGCAAATTTAATGCCTTCAGGCGAATGCCATCTGCACCAGGGGAGATGAATTCGCGCATGGACATCTGCCATTTCAGTACAGCTATGGAGGTAAACGACATGTGATTAATTCCTAATGGCAGCAGGATGTGAGATGATTTCACACTTTGGAAGGTACGGCCAAGTTGTTGCCCAATATGCTTGGCCGGCTTTTGTGCCGTTTGTGCTAACCCGCATGCGGTGTACAGAGCAGGATTTCCGCGCTTAACCCGGAGCCGTTTTTGTTTACGTGTCTGTATCGCAGCTTTGGATTAGAACAAAATTTTTTCATCAGAACTTGTTGTTTCGTTACTTTCTCCTCCCGGATGAGTTTGACACAATGGTTCCTTTGGGTTGTATAGATATCCCAGGTGTTCTCGCTCGGTCGGGCCATGCACTTACGTGTCTTGCTCCTCAGTAGAGAACGACACATGACCAGAAACCAGTGAATCATGAAAACACTACTACAAGCTCGGGACAGTAGGTGACGGTGTGGTTGTAACTACTTGTGATGCGGCACGGCTAGCTGTTCCCTAGGCAGTGGCTGTAAGTGATCTCTTGAGCACGCAACACCTTACAAATGATCCGGTTTTTTAAGCCTTTATCAAATTGCTACCTGTGGCTCGGCGTGTAAAGGAGAGCACTATTCACCAACAAGCGCTGCTTGGTAACAAAAGCGTAATCCAACCGAGAAATGTGAGCTGCATGATTATGCACTCACTTTAAGCTGAAGGCCCGTTTCAAGGAGCAAGCACTCAACAAACAGTCCTCCGTCAATACCGCACCTTAAGTATGTCTTCTGCGGTGCATCAATCAACATCCTGGGCCTACATGGGTGTAGGTAAGCTACATTGAGTATCTTCTCTCCCACGCTTTAGTAAATGGCCACACACCACATATTCAGCGTAAATCCAAAGGAATAAAACTGGGAAGCATGTGAGTGGGAAGCACGACTGGTTCGAGGTCGACCCACACTCCTTCGGCATGCACTTCTCATATACGAAGTTAGGACAAGACATAACCACTGCAAGTACGCAGGGCGGTGGCTGGGCCGTAACCCGCTCTACATTGGAAGGAACCACAATTGAGCCGAACAATCTCACAAAGACTGTACACACCGTCTTCCCAAACCTCGATTAACCCTCCCGGAGCAAGTTATCGAGGTGACGCTTTCTGACAGATTAGCACCCTGTCTACATGTCACTCGTGACCAGAAATGATATGTCAACTGGCTGTCATAAATGAGATAATATGTACTCACAAGCACGCGTACAGACCAATGGCGGCGATGGTACGGAACATGTTTGACTCGCCACTTTATATTGGTCGGGGTTAGTAACTGGAACTGAAAAACGGAATTACGCTGTTCTGACACATAGCCATATAATTTGCCCGAGGCCTCTTGGATACTAGCCCCCATGGCCACGTCCGATTTGGCTAAAACATACACAGCTGCATGTGATGCAGCACCAGCCGCATGGCACTGAGGAGCCAAACTGGGTCCCTATCTGATGCCTACGTAGCCGGCCTGTTTCTTCTTGATCTAGTAGTTCATGCTAGTGCAACTAGTCAAAGATATTCTTGATGTGATCGCGACATAGATGACGATCCACTGTCACTGCTTCCCAACACCCAAACTCAGCATTAGTTCGAGAACAGTGCAAATCGATAACCTCCTCATAAGTCTACCAACGTTTGACCACGTTAGCTTACCTAGATTTAGTTAGCTATGTGGCAGGCGTTTCTGAATTCTAATCGCATTCATACGGCGGTCAGGTTCGAACCAGATGGTAGCAGTATGCAGTAGCAGCAGCCCGTCCATTCCGTATATGCTGCCAGGGCGGAGCATCTCCGTGTCAGAAGCCCTGTCATATCAACGGATGCGCAGAATCCGACACACAAGTTGCTGATGAAACTGCTCCAGGTGTCCAAGGTCTTTCCTGTTTGACTTCCACGTTTCACTCCATCAGGGAAGCACTAACAACAGCATTGCTTTGGATACAGTCAGATTGGTTCCATTGGTCAGCTGACGGTGTTGATGGTGCTCCAGCTTGCTAAAAACCACACATACCGTAGGAACTGCGTGTACCTCTCGCTGGTCTGCTGACAATGTTCTCCCAGGATAGAAAAACTTGCATATCTCCAAAACCTTGCAGACATTTTGCTTTTCTGGCTGCACTGGGGGTTCACTTCAAGCGACGACTGGACAAGACATGCAGTCATCTTTATTGAAGGTGAGTCCGAACTTGGCGGCCATCAAACCGAGAGCCGTGGTCATATCACTTAATTCACCGTACCTCTGCGCAAACGACGCGTAGTCTTTGGCAGACAACAAAATGCGTGGGCCTGCCTTAATTGC